GTGCACGCGCCCCCGCCTTTCTCTTCCTTTTGGTGGCTGGCTGGGACAGGGATCGAAGCCTGGACCCTGGTGTCAGCAGCATCACGCTCTAACCACTTATCTAACCAGTCACCTACTCCACCTCTTTCTTTGTGCTTCTCCCTTCCATCCTACATTCCGGAAGGATGTCTCGCTTCTTCTCTGCCCACCAGAACGTCCCCCCTCCTGTCCTCTGTGCCACAAAATCCAGGGCTCGCCTTGGCCCCCTGGCTTCCAGCCCCTGGAGTGCCCTCTCCTCTTGGTTTCCAACGTGCTCCCCTGCCTGAGCCCCGGGGCTCCTTGGACTGGGGGCTGGGTGGGGAGAAAGCCCGCCTCAGGGTCTTCCTTTGGAACCCCCTCCACTTCTCAGACCACTGCCCCAGGACAGTTGCACTGTTCACCTGTCCCCAAAAAGGGCCTGGACACCCACCTTGCCACCTCCTTCCTTCCTGCACCCGCGTCCTGCCCCTCCCCTACACCTCCATCCGCACCACCCCTGCCCTGACCAGCCTCTCCCGCCTGGATGCCAGCCTCTGCCTCCTCCCATCTCACCCATAATAGATGTTTGTCCAAAATGCTACTGTGCCCCCTGCCCCCACTCCACAACCTCGTATGGCTCCCCAGTGCCCTCTCCTTCACACCCAGTCGTGTCCGGAATTTGACGTCTTGCACCATCCCCCATTCTGACCACCTTCCTTAAAATAGCAGCCCGCCTGCACCCGCATCCCGCACCCCCTTCCCTCCCCTACTTGAGTGTTCTCGCTGCCCTTAGGGGCACCTGACACAGTCCACACTTTCATTCAGTTTTTTTTTTTNTACCGAGCGCGCCACCGGCCGGCCCCGCATTCAGTGTTTGATCGTCTGTCTCCTGCACTAGGACGTCGTCCCCATGACTTGTCTGTTTTGTCCACTGCTGTAAACAGTGCCTGGTACACAGTAGCTACCGAGCGCGCCACCGGCCGGCCCCGCATTCAGTGTTTGATCGTCTGTCTCCTGCACTAGAACGTCGTCCCCATGACTTGCCTGTTTTGTCCACTGCTGTAAACAGTGCCTGGTACACAGTAAGTGCTCAGTGAATGTTTATTGAGAGACTGAATGGTGAACTTCTATTCCTACCTCAAGACCCAGCTAAAACGCCCCCTACCCCTTGCCCTGGTCAGTGTCCAGAGGAGCCAGCCAGACTTGCCTCCACCTCTCAGGACGTCAACTTCCCCAACCCCCTTTGACATCGTGAATCTTTTTTTTTTTTGACCGGTAAGGGGATCAAACCCTTGGCTTGGTGTTGTCAGCACCACGCTCAGCCCGTGAACAAACCGGCCATCCCTATATGGGATCCGAACCCGCAGCGTCGGCACTACCAGCACCACACCCTCCCGAGTGAGCCACGGGGCCAGCCCTGACTTCATGAGTCTTAACATGGCCTTTTTCTGGCCCCAGCTGATAAAAATAATGCCAGTGGACATTCATTAAGCACCCGCTGTATGCCAAACACGGTGTGATGCTCTTTATGTTCATCAATTCATTGAGAAATTGTCAGATCCCCACGGGGTAGGTCCTAGCGTTGCCATTTTTTATGGCCAGGGAAACTGAGGCCCAGAGAAGGGTTAGGGTCGACAATCCGGATCCCTCTGCAGCTCCAGGCCTCCGCCCACCCCGCACTCCCCGAGGCTCAGAACAACCAGTGCCCGAGTGGGAGGGGCTGCCTCGACTAATCACCTGGAGCTAATCCTGCCCCCACCCGGCCCCGACCCCGCTCGGGTCTGGCAGGACCAGGCCACGGCAGACTCTGCGCAGGGCCCGCTGGGGCGGGTGCCCCGTGGAGGCGCCGACAGAGGGGCTGCTGAGGGGTGAGCGCTGGGCAGGCGGGTGCGGGTGGGGGTTGGTGCAGAGACACCCCCCAGGGTGGAAGACTTAGGACATAGGAGGCATCCTGGCACGGTGGAGGACAGCGTCCTGGCCTCCTGCCTCTTGGGGTGGGGAGTGTCCTCGACACACAGAGACCGTGATAGAGCTAAAGAGGAAAAGGGGGGATAGGGATGGGGAGACAGAGACACACCAAGAAAGAGAGAGAGTGTGAGATAACCCAAGACGAAGGGGTAGGGGGAGAGAGTCCACGGATGCGGGACAAACAGGCCCCAGTGCAGGGTCAAGGTTTCCCCGCAGCCGGGAGGCGTGCTTGGGGCTCCCTGCTCTCCCCCAGCCGGCAGTCCCTCCTGCTGTCTCACCACACTCTGCACGACTGCTGTCCTGCCAGGTGAGAAGCCATGTTTCTGAGCCAGGGAGAGGGGCCGGCAGCTGAGAGTGGGGGCCTGGGACCGGGGGAGGAGGCGCCCAAGAAGAAGCACCGGAGGAACCGCACGACCTTCACCACATACCAGCTGCACCAGCTGGAGCGGGCGTTCGAAGCCTCCCACTACCCGGACGTGTACAGCCGCGAGGAGCTGGCGGCCAAGGTGCACCTGCCTGAGGTGCGCGTACAGGTGAGGGCACCCTCACCTCCCACAACCATGGGAGGGAGGCGCAGCCAGATACTGACCCTCCTGGAGAAACTGGGAAGGCTTCCCAGAGGCGGGATGCAGGAGCTGGGGCCTTGACGTTTGAATAGGAGTTTGCCAGCTGGGAAGGGGAGAGGATGTGTCTCTAGGCATGCAGAACAGCTTGTGCAAAGACGGGGAGGGGTTAAGGAGGAGCTAAGAGCTCGTGAAGGCCACGAAGGCCTCCAAGGCCAGCTGAGGAGCTGCAGCTCGGGCTTCATGCTGACAGCCATGCTGACAGCCGGGGTAGACCAGGGAGGTGACCGAGCAGCCTCAGGGGAGACTGGGCAGAGAATGGCGAAGAGGGATCGGTTCAGAAAAGACTTTGGGGCTGATTTGGTGGGGGTCACGATGCAGGAGGACCCCTCTCAAGACGGCAGCTCCTTGGGGCAGAATGGCAAAGCCCACAGGCACCACAGCAGGTGGGAGTCGCAAGGCTGGGGGCCGGAAGAGGGGCTTGCTGGAGCAGGGAGGAGGGGCTGAGCTCGCAGCACCCTTCTTGCTGTCCTCCAGGTGTGGTTCCAGAACCGCCGGGCCAAGTGGCGCCGCCAGGAGCGTCTGGAGTCAGGCTCAGGGGCCGTGACAGCCCCAAGGCTCCCCGAGGCCCCGGCACTCCCGTTTGCCCGCCCTCCACCCATGCCACTGCCCCTGGAGCCCTGGCTGGGCCCTGGGCCCCCGGCTGTGCCAGGCCTCCCCCGCCTCCTGGGCCCAGGCCCTGGGCTGCAGGCGTCCTTCGGACCCCATGCCTTTGGTCCAGGCTTCGCGGATGGCTTTGCCCTGGAGGAAGCATCCCTGCGGCTGCTGGCCAAAGAGCACGCACAGGCTCTGGACAGGGCCTGGCCACCAGCCTGAGCCTGTGCCTGCCCAGGCCCCCCTCCTCAGCCTGTCCTGAAGGCCTCGGACGTGCCCAGTGACAAGAGCCATCACCTTGGTCTGGGCCAGGGTCACAGAACAGCCCTGCTATCAGGCCAGGCAGTGACTGGAGAGCAAGACACAAGCTGCTGGGGACCTCTGCCCACTACCCTCCCTGTCCCCCACCATCACCTCCTCACCCCACCTTGCAGGGAGACTGGCACCTACTGTCAGGCAGGAGGTGGCTGGGGGGTTCCCAGGCCAGGGGGCGACCTCCTGGGAGTCTCTGCCCTCCTGGGACCTCAATCTCCCCATCTGTCAAATGGGAGTGGGTGGGTGGGCTGGATGCCAGATCGTGAGCGGCTATGACCAGGAGTCACTGGAACCTTCACCTGTGAGCTGACAAAAGTCCCTCGGCCTGCTCCTAACCTCCCTTCCTCAGAGCCGCCCCCTCCCAAGAAATAACAAGAGCTGCAGCAGCCGCGTGCAGCCGGCCTCTGTCACTGCGCGCCCGCCACGGGCCGGCCCTGCGCCATGACCTTGCCCTTACAACAGCCTGTGAGGTGGGCTTGACCATCAGTCCCATTTTACAGAGGAGGAAACCGAGGCCCAGACGGGAGGCTTCCTGAAGTCGCACAGCCAGGCAGGTGGAGCTGGTTTTCAGACTCACCGCCTGGGTCCTGGGGTGGGAAGCCGTGGGGCCCAGGCCGGGTGCTAGTGGGGCACTCGGGCAGAGGCAGGCTGCTGCCATATCTCAAGGAGCTGTTCATGTCCCTGCAGGCCCCAGACCCTATTCATGTCCCCAGCCAGCGAGGGCTAGGCCAGCCACCAGCTCTGTGCAAGCCAGTCAAGTGCCCCAGGGCTCAGGAAGGCATAAGGAAAGGCTGCCCTTCCCAGAGGAGCCTGGGCTCCAAGACAAGGATGCTGGAGACAGGCCACTTCACCATGGGACAGGGCTGCCTGGGTCAGAACGACCCCCAGGACAGGAGTGGGGGGCAAAGGCAGGACCTGTAGAGGCCAGCCCCCTTCCCGCTCCACCAGGGCTCCCCGGGCAACTGCACATGTGTGCCCACACCCAGGTCACCTGCCCATCCCTATCCTCACACAGGAGCCCTGTGGCCCCGTGCCCTGTTTCTGCTGTGGCAGCCGGGCCTGTCCATCTATCCACCCACCCACCCATCCATCCCACATATCACTGCACACCAGGCACTGGGGACACAGCAGTGAGGGAGACACGAGATCTCTCTGAAAACTGAAACACACAATGTCAGGCAGTGATCAGTGCTGGGGAAAAGAGACAGGAAGGCCAGTCGGGAGTGCGTGGCAGGGCTTACGGTTTTAATAGGGTGGTCAGGGAAGGCCTCGTGGGGAAGATGACATTGGAGCAGAGACCTGGAGGAGGTGAGGGAAAGCCCTGGGGAGCCCAGGGGGGACAGCAACCTGGGCAGAGGCACAGCGTGTGCAAAGGCCCTGGGGCAGGACAGAACCAGGGGCCTGGGACTTCTAGCGCGTGGGAGGAACAGCAAAGAGGCCTGTGTGGCCGGAGGAGAGACAGTGGGGGGAGAGAGGGAGGAAGGGAGGGCAGGGAGGGGACAGGAAGGGATGTGCAGGGACTTGTGGCTGTTATAGCTTTGGCTTTTACTCTGAGAGCCATGGAGGGTTGGAGCAGAGCGGGCAACACCCTTTGTGAATGTGCGAGCAAGTGAATGTGACTCACGCCGTCTGCCTGCCCAGGGCCGGCCACCAGGGAGGACAGGCGAGCAGTAATCCGCTCCATAGCATCTGCCTAAGAGGATGAGCGCTGGGACAGGGCAGAATTAGCCACGGGTTCCCCCTCTCCCCTGTCCAGCCCTCAGACAGAGGAGCGTGGAGGGAGGGTGGGAGGGTGGGCCCAGCCAAAGCCCTGTGCACCATGGCTGCCTACCTGGGAAGAGGCAGGGCCCAGGACCACAGGCCTGTGCAGGGTGGGGTCCGCAGGGTACACCACACCCGAGGCCCTCCCACTTTCCCTAACTGGGCAGCACCCCACTCTCCTCCAGTCTGGTGGGCTCCGGCCTCACCCCTAGGATCCTGCCGCTGAGATCCCCCCATCACAGCCAGGCCTGGCGACAATTAGGACTGCAGGAGCCTGGGTTCTCAGGAGGGCTGTGGGTCAGGTTCACAGTGCCAAACGCAGACTCCAGCGTGCACTGGGGGGCTGGGGCGACGGGGGCATTGAAACCTGAGCTCCAGGGGGGTGGACCAGTGTGAGGACTTGGGGTGGGGAAGGCGTCTGGCTCAAGTGCCTGCGGACCACCCTGTTGACCTTGGCAGGAAGGAAGGGGCCATCCCTTCCCTCTATCTTGGCTTTCTGAGCTGGGGGTGGGGCGGGGGCAGTGAGGGGGATCAGCCAGGAAGCCTGGGGCTACCCCTGCCCATGTGTGCCACCCACTGGGGGATAAAAGGACCCTGACATGGAGGTAGCACACATCTGAATACTGAAGCACCTGGGTCCAGCCACGACTGAAGCCAGGCACCAACCCCTGGACATCTCAGTTCCTGAAGCTCATAAAGACTCTTTTCCAAGTCTGACAACCTGGGTTGAGTTTGAATGCCTTGCAACCAAGAGAGGCTTGGGCTAGAACAACCTCACCCCTCGAGGTCTGGAGTTGGAGCCCCTGGGGCAGTGTTAGGAAATTCCAGGAATCAGGGAGAGAAGCCCATTGAGGACTGGAGGTGATGGGGACCTGCAGAAGTCAGCCAGCTGCTGGGGGTGGAGATGGGAGTCCATGGGTGAGATGCCCACCCTCACTCCACCTACCTCCTGCCCCGACTTAATACCGAAGGGCATCCAGGGTCTACAGACAGAGGTCTTTATTGGCTCCCGGGCCCTCTCTGATCTTGAAAAAGTCCGTTTTCTCCAGTAAAATAAGAAGTCCTCTGTGGGGGGAGGGCGGTCCTCCTCCAGGCCCAGCTGGGACCTCGGCAGCGCTAGAACTTCCTGTTCTTGCTCAGCCGGTTGTGGCGCCAGATGTTCAGTTTCCGCAGCAGCCGCCAGTACTCCCGGCTCTCTGGGTCCAGCTCCTCCAGCTTCTTGGGGGGACCCACGTTCATCTGAAACAGCCTGAAGGGGTATGTGTGGGAATCAGGGCTACACAGCAACCCCATGGCTCCCTAGCACCCCTGCCTGGGTCTGAGTCCTACTTGGTGGCTGTGTGATCGCGGGGTAGTCCCTCCACCTCCACGAGCCGGGCCCCTCCCAATGTCCCTCGCTTGTGTCTCAGCCACTGACCATGCTGTGCCCTCTGCCCACCCACCCGCTCAGCCCGTCTGACCCTTCCCCAGCTTCAGGGACGGATTGTTTCCTTGCCCCGCACCTGCTCTTGGGGCCAGAGCAAATCCCTGCAGCCCAGAGGGCCCTGCCCGACCTGCCCCGTCCCCTCCCGCCCTCCCCTGCCCCCTCTGTCCCCCTCCTCTCTCTGCTCCAGCCACACGGGCTTCCTCGCTGCTCCTCAGACATGCAGGCTCGGTCCTGCCCCAGGGCCTTTGCACGGGCTGTGCCCTCTATCTTTGAAGCCCCTTCCACCCACTCAGGTCTTGGCTCATTTGTCACCTCCCCAGGGAAGCCCTCCCAGAAACCTCAGACTTGATCAGCCAAGCCCCGCTGCACTCCACGGCTCAGTCTCCTGCCCTCCCTTCCCGAGAGCATCACCACCGAATCCACCAGATTATCTGCTCACTGTCTGCCTCCCAGCTAGCTCCACAGGCTGGGGATTTTTTTTTTTTTTTTTTTTTTTTTTTTTTTTTTTTTTTTTTTTTTTTTTTTTTTTTTTTTTTTTTTTTTTTTTTTTTTTTTTTTTTTTTTTTTTTTTTTTTTTTTTTTTTTTTTTTTTTTTTTTTTTTTTTTTTTTTTTTTTTTTTTTTTTTTTTTTTTTTTTTTTTTTAAAGATGACCAGTAAGGGGATCCGAACCCATGGCCTTGGTGTTATCAGCATCACGCTCTCCCGAGTGAGCCACGGGGCCAGCCCACGGGGATTTTTGCCTGTTTTGTGCCTTTTGCAGCCGGAGCCTAGAACAGGGCATACAGTCACCACCCAATAAATGTTTGTTAAAGAAAAACGGAGGCACCTTTTTAGGCACTCCACGTGCGTTCTCCTCTCATGAGCTCCTCACAGCCCTCTGAGGGAGACAGGGTCACCATCACCCCCATTCACAGTTGGGAAGACTGAGGCACAGAGCAGTGAAGCGCCCTGCCCTGAGCCAGGATGGGTGGATGTCACCATCAGGCACCACGGACGGAGTAGGGATCACCTTTCCTGGGAGGTGTCCTCCTTCCAGGCTGATGCCGTCTGGCCCACTCACCACTCGGGGTACTCAGAGTCCGGCTTCAGGACCACATCCTGGCCCTCCTTGTAGATGTTGACACCCATGGCATGTGTGGTGAGCCGGACGGGGTCTGTGCACACTTCTGGGTCCTTCAAGGCCTCGCTGGCCACACCTCCTTTGCCACCTTTGCCGCCCTTCACGACTGGAGCGGAGGGAAGAAGGTGGGAAGTCGTTTCAGCCCAGCTCCATCCTTGGAAGGCCAGACCCCCTTTGGGTGGCCTCAGGCCCTGTGTCTGCTACAATCACAACAAATGTAGGTGGGATATGGACACAGCATTAAATAACACCAACGCTCAGAGTGCCCATGTCATTCTCTCTCTCTCTTGTTTTTTTTTGGTGGCTGGTCAGTGCAGGGATCAAACCCTGGACCTTGGTGTTATCAGCACCACGCTCCAACCAGCTGAGCTCACCTGCCGGCCTTCATTGTCCTTGAAATTCTATTTTGAATTTTTCTGTTTATCTAATGGAGAAAGCCTCTGCTGGCTGCTAAGTGTCTTTAGGGCCTAACATCTGCCCATTTCCTCCTTTCAACAAAGGAGATCAGGCAACGCTGTATCCAGCTAACATTTCAAAACCTTGTTTTGTTATTGCTGAAATGGTTAATCAAGATGGGCCCCATCTCTTCCTCGAATTTCTTTCCCAAGGTCACGCAGTGATTTGGAAGAAGAAACAAGACTGGAACCTAAATGAATGACCTGACCCTGGCCCAATGCCTACCAGCCTGCGCCTGCGCAGCGAGACACCTTTGCTGCACGTAACCCACGCCCTCGTCTCTGGCCGCTTGGCTTCAGGAGGGCGCCTGCGCACTGAGTACAGTCACTCCCTAAGGTATCTCCACCAAGCGGCGCTAGGCCACTCAAACTGCGCCTGCGCGCAGAGACCGACGCCGGCCTCTATGCTCTTGTGCATTGGTTCTAGGATCCACCTTCCCCAGCCGGCGCCTGCGCGCTGCCAATAAGCCAAAGAGCCCATCGTCCCCATCTTGGTCCTTCTTAACCCAGCTCACCCGGTTTCTTGGCATAATCCCGGACCAGGATTCTTCCAGGCGAGGAGGGGTAGGGGAGTTCCCGGGCCCCCCAGCCGGCCCACGTCTGGGTAGCCCCGAAGAGGCGTCTTGCGGCCATGATGTGTGCGGGCTGCTCGCACGTGCACGTTTCCGGGAGACGGCAGCGGCCCGGCGGTGCCTGGGAATTGTAGGCCCCTAGAGATTTCTGGGAAATGTAGTCTTCTGAGCCTCACGCATATGTTCCTCGTGAATTCTTTGAACTTTTGTAGAAGTGCCCAGTTACTGAATGAGGAGACGTTCAAAGGATGTTTCACTGACTCCTTGCCCTTCTTCAGTCACTAGTCACTTACTTGAAATACTACACCTTCTATATTCCTGATTCTATCCAGTGAGATTTTGTTGAAATCCTAAAAGTAAGAACACCTAACACTAAGCAGGCTTTGCTGTACGCCAGGTCTGCTGCTGAGTCCGTACAGCGCTGAGTCGCATTAACCCTCTCAGTTAGAGAGCAGATCCTACTTTATCCCCAGCTTATAACTCAGAAATCTAACGTTCAGAGAAGTAACGATCTTAGGCTGGAACACTAAGCACGGGCTTGCCGTTCTGTCGCCCTCCTGTGAGGCGAACCGGAAGTCCATCTGCAACAGGGTCCCCACGCTGCTTCCGGTGTCCCAAAGTCCCAATGAGACCACCTCTCACTCTTTTTTAATATTTCCCAGTCCCATTTCTTCCCATCTGTCATCCCTTGGAGTAATGACCACAGCCATAGGAGGCAGGTAGTGGTTATTAACCCCATTCATTTTTCAGCAGGGGAAACAGGTTCAGGGACCAGCCCGAGCTCCCAGTCTGCGAGCATGGAGGTCCGGGATTCGAACCCAGGGCCCCCCAACACCCGCCTCAGCCCTAGCGCCCCCTGGTGGCGAGGCGGGCTGGAAGAACTACATTTCCCAGCAGGCCCCGCGAGGCTGCGCATGCTCAGTGGGCCAGGGTGCTTCGCCGACCGGACAGCCAGCGCCCGGGCTGGGAATCGACAAGCGGTGGCGCCGGAGGCAGAATCGGGGAGGACGGTCCCGGATATGCCGGGGTTGGCCCGGGGACGCGGGATCCTGGGGGCCGCGCGGGGCTGAGGCGACCTCGGTTTGGGGATTGAGTGTCCCGGCTGGCAAGGGCGGGGTCAGGTGCCGGTGCCTGAAGTCAGGGGTCCGGTCTTAGGCCGGCTTGTGAAGATGGGGTCTGAGTCTGGGGTCAGTCTCGGTGTGGCGTGGAAGTTTGGAGTCTGGAGCCTGCTAATGGTGTCTTGGATCTCTAGTATTACGTCTGGGGTCCTGGGTCTTTAGTTCTGGACTGGGGTCTCAGGTATTAGGTTTGGGGTCATGGGATTGGAGTCTTGAGTCCAAGGTCTCAAGGACCTGCATCTGGTGGGTCTGGAGAGTCAGAGTGGGAGGAGGTCGGTGTCAGCAGCCTGGGTTCCACGTCGTGGGGACTTGAAAGAACCACAGCTGCAGTGAAAGTTGGGGGGGTCTGGGGTGACAGGTAGAAGGGACTACCTACCCTGGGGATCAGAGCCTGGGAAGTCATTGTTTCACACCTGCCCACTCTGTGCCTCAGTTTCCTCATCTGTTAAGTGGGTATCTGTCAAACGGGGATCCTGACTTCCTTGCAGGGTACAGTGGGGATTACGTTGCATGTTCTGTATGAACAGTACCCAGCCGCCGCATGGCACCAAGTAACCGCCCGGGAAACCTCAACTTTGAATCTCTCTCTTTCAGCAATGTGAAGAGGCCAGCCTGAGTCCAGAGTCCAGGCATGGAGTTTCTGACAATGCCCCGCTCCCCTTCAGGGCCTTCCATGGACTTGGAGGAGCCCAGAGACCCTCTTGTACCCTCTGAGAACCTTATTCCAGACAGCCGGTGGGATCCTGTGCCAGCAGGCCCTGGCAGCCTGAGTCAGATGGAACTTGACGAGTCGAGTGTTCAGGACCTGGTGCAGCAGTTTGAGGCTCTGCCGGCTGATTTGACGGGCCTGTCCCCAGATGGAGTGCCCTGCCCCCTGCACATTGCCACCGGCCACGGCCTGGCCCCCCAGGACATCACCGATGCCCACGGGCTTTTGTCCGCTGAGGCTGGTCGGGACGATCTGCTGAGCCTTTTGTGCTGTGAGGAATGCTCACCTCCCCAGCTTTGTCCTGAGGAGCCCCCCGAGCCTGCTCCTCGCCTGTTGCAGCCCCCTGAGGACTCTGATGGGGATCCTGGCCCCCCGGAATGGACGAAGGGAGCCTCTGCCGAGCGGGGTGGCAGCGGTAGTTCAAGCAGCTCCCCAGAACCCTGGCTGGAGACGGTGCCTCTGGTTGCGCCTGAAGAGTCACCTGCCGGTGCCCAGGTAGTGCCTGCTCCGCCCTCCGGCTCTCTGCTGTGTGGAACCGAGCAGGGGGACTCAGTCCTGCCCCTCTTCTGTCTTCTTCCAGAGCCCCGAGACCCTGGCTTCATACCCTGCCCTCCAGGAGGGTGAGTGTCCCTCCCGCCCTGGCCCCAGGGACTTAGGGGTTCCAGAACAGCCAGAATCAGGTTTCCAAAATCTGGCAAAAGTTTGATAGTAAGGACAAGATTCTGGAGAGGCTCTGAAGGTGGTTTAGAGATTCCAGATGGCCAGGGAGAGAAAAGACAATCTTGAGAATGTTCTAGAGTGAGTGGTAGGGCAGGTTCTAGGTGGTGGTAGGGCAGGTTTGGCAGTTCATGGCACTCAGTTCTAGAGCAGGGGTTGGCAGATTACCATCTGCATGCCAGATCCAGCCCACTGCCTGTTCTTGTAGGCCTCATGAGCTAAGAATGGCTTTTGCATTCACATATAAATAGTTGGGGAAAAATCGAAAGACAAATAGTCCCCCCCACCCCCGGCGGCTGGCCTATATGGGGATCCAAACTCTTGACCTTGGGGTTATCAGCACCACACTATAACCAACTGAGCTAACCGGCCAGCCCCCCAAATAGTATTTCTTAAAACGTGCAAATGATATGCAATTCATATTTTAGTGTCTGTAAATAAAGTTTTATTGGAACACAATCACGCCCATTCATTTATGTGTTGTCTACAGCTGCTTGTCTGTTACAATGGCAGAGTTCAGTAGTTGCAGAAGAGAACAAATGGCCCACAAAGCTGAAAATATATACTGTTTGGCCCTTTACAGAGAAAAGTTGCCAATCCCCTTCCCAAAGGCATGGGAAGAACCAGTTCTGGCCCTCTGGAAGGTTCTGGAATACCCGCCCTCAAACTACCTGAGGATATTGGTTGAAGAGCAAGCTCTATGGTTGTAGAGAGGGGAGCTGGTTTGGACCTGTAGCTCTGGGAAGGTTCTAGAATCATGGGTAGAGCTATGATTCAGCTAGGGAGTTCCAGAGCTTGGCATTTTTGTCTGTGGTTCTAGATTAAACGGATGAGAATGTTCTGGACTGATGAACAGACCTGTCTGGTTCTACTCAGACTGGAGAATTCTAGAACCATGGAGCAAACAGAATTTATGTGTCGTTCTAACCCAACAGGGTGTTCTCGGACCGTGGACAGAGCTATCCAATTCTAGTGTAATCAGAAAGTTCTAGATAGAACTACATTAGAAATATAATGTGAGCCATATGTGGTTTTAAATTTTCTAGTTGTCCAGATAAAAAATACTTAGCAGGTGAAGTTAACTTTAATAAGTATTTCAGTTAACCCAATATGTTCAAAATACAGTTGACCCTCGCACGCATGGCTTAGAACGGCACAGGTCAACTTATATGCAGATATTTTTCAATTAAAAAATACTTAACAGGGGTGCCAGTTAATTCAGTTGGTTAGAGCACAGCCTTATAACACCAAGGTCACAGGTTCAGATCCCCATACCGGCCAGGCCCCCCAGAATAAAAAGTAAATAAAAAGTTTTTTTAAAAAAGGAAACTTAGGGCCGGCCCGTGGCTCACTCGGTAGAGTGCGGTGCTGATAACACCAAGGCCGCGGGTTCGGATCCTATATAGGGATGGCCGGTTCGCTCACTGGCTGAGCGTGGTGCTGACAACACCAAGTCAAGGGTTGAGATCCCCTTACCGGTCATCTTTTAAAAAAAAAAAAAAAAAAGGAAACTTAACAATATCAGTAAGTACAGTACTGTAAATGTATTTTCTGTTCTTTATGATTTTTCTAATATTTTTTTCTCTAACTTTATTATAAGAATACAGCATATAATACATACACCGTATGAAATATATTAACCAACTTTATGTTATCGATAAAGCTTCTGGTCAACAGCAGGCTATTAGTGGTTAAGTTTTGGGGGAGTCAAAAGTTATACATAGACTTTTGGCTGTATGGGGGGTGAGAAGGGGCAGTGTCCCAAGCGTCGTGTTGTTCAAGGGTCAGTTGTCATCATTTTAACATATAATACTTTTGAACTATTTTACTTTGTTTTTAGAAAAGATGACCAGTAAGGGGATCTTAACCCTTGACTTGGTGTCGTCAGCACCACGCTCTCCCAAGTGAGCAAACCGGCCATCCCTATATGGGATCCGAACCCGTGGCCTTGGTGTTATCAGCACCGCACTCTACCAAGTGAGCCATGAGCCGGCCCAAACTATTTTACTTTTTTGTTCCTACTAAGTCTGCAAAATCCAGTGTGTATTTTGCACTTATAGCATGTCTCAGTCCGGACCGGCCACATTTTACGTGCACAGTGGTTAAACATGCCTGCTGGCTACCATCGTGAGTGGCACGGTCCTAGAACCTCAGAGTGGGGTTGTCTCTGTTCCAGAATGCTTAGATCATGAACAATAGCCAGGGTTGGCTGTGGTTTAAATTCACTTAGAAGTGTCCAGAACTGGGGCCTTTACCCGTGGTTCTGAACCAAAGTGCCATAGCTACTGTTTAGAAGATTCTAGAACTACTGGCAGAGCTGTCTGATTCTAGGTGGCTCAAGGGATTCTAGGACCACAAGGGCAAAGCTTTATGTAGCTGTGGGCTGGGTGGTGGTGATAGTGGGATTCTAGAACCATTGTAGAATTCTTCTAGAGCAAAGTTGGTTGCTTATAGACTGTTCAGATAATTCTTAGAGTCACTGGTGTAGCTGAGGTTGTGAACTACTGGGAGGGATTCCAGAACCATAGAAAGAGCTACCAGACACTATCATGATTAGCAAGATCTAGAATCATGGAGTAGGGAAGTCTGATTCTGGAGTGATGTCATAATCCTGACAGAATTGTGTGATTTGAGACCTGTCAGGGAGTTCTGGACTTGCGAGTTTGCGCCATCTGGGGTTCTGGACAGTTTAGGAGACCTGTGGACAGTTGTCTGTACTCTGATTGGGCAGTTCTACAGCCAAGGGATAGAGTTACCTGTGATTGTCGGCTAACTGGAGAGAATTCTAGAACCATGGCAGAGTTGGCTGGTTGTAGATTGACGGGGGGAATTCTACAACCATTAAGTGGGGTTGACTATAGTTCTCGAATGTTGCAGGTTTTAGAAATATGAGCAGGACTGTCTGGTTCTAGCCTGATCATGGAGTTCTAGAAACCCAGGGTGAAGGTGTTTGTGAGCACTAGGCCTGGTTTTGGACCTGACCATGGGTCCAGACTCAGAAGGTTCCTGGGAGTCCTTGAGGGGTGGGTAGAGCTGGCTCTAGAAGGACAGAGGACTCTAGATCTATGTGGGCTGAGCCACTCAGATTGTTCTAGAATAGTGGGCAGAGCTTTGTGGCTCTATCATGGGGTAGAACTCTCTGCGCTTCCAGACCATTCAGGGAGCTCAGCCCCTGGGCAGAGCCTGTCAGGGTAGACAGGCCTGGCCAGGGGCTCCCCAGGGCTGACCCTGTCCCCACTGTGGCCCTCAGTACCTGGTCCCTGTGACCATGAAGACCTCCTAGATGGTATCATTTTTGGGGCCAAATACCTGGGCTCCACCCAGCTGTTGTCTGAGCGGAACCCGCCCCCCAGCACACGCATGGCCCAGGCCCAGGAGGCCGTGGACCGTGTCAAGGTGAGGCTGGGGATGTGGACAGGGCGGGCAGGGCGCAGGCTGAGGCTGGGTCTCCAGGGGCCTCCACCTCCCACTCTGCCCCCTACAGGCCCCCGATGGGGAGAGCCAGCCCATGACAGAGGTGGACCTCTTCGTCTCCACCAAGAGGATCAAGGTGCTGACAGCCGACTCCCAGGTACAGGGCATGGGCCAGCCGGGGGTCGTGGGGGCTCAGGGTCTGGTGAGGCCCCCACAGCCACCCTGGCCCCGCATCCTGCCCCCAGGAGGCCATGATGGACCACGCCCTGCAGACCATCTCCTATATCGCCGACATCGGCCCTGTGCTGGTTCTCATGGCGCGCCGGCGGCTGGCCCGGAGGCTGCCACCCCAGGACCGCGACCGCCGCCTCTACAAGATGATCTGCCACGTGTTCCACTCAGAGGACGTGAGCAGTCAGGGTCACAGCGACCAGAGGGAGTGGCCCCGCCCTCCTTAGACCCCACTTGGCTGCGACTGTCAGCCCCAGCTGGCAGGAGACTCCCTTGATCATCCCCATAAACCCATGGCCATCTCCTTCCCTTCTTCCTGTAGTGTCCCCAAGGTCGTGGCTGTCTCCCTCCCCAAAATCCCCAGGGCAGGAGGCCATTTCCAGGGAATCTTGTCCCAGGTGGGGACAGGAGGGCTTCACTCTGAGGCTGGCAGGGACACGCCGCTCCTCCCCCGACTCTCCACAGGCCCAGCTCATTGCTCAGGCCATCGGCCAGGCCTTCGCCGTGGCCTACAGCCAGTTCCTGCGGGACAGCGGCATTGACCCCAGCCAGGTGGACACCCGGCCAGGCCAGGGGGCTGCCAGCTCTGGCTACCTCCACAACGGGGACCTGGACCACTTTTCCAACAGTGAGAACTGCAGGGAGGTGAGCAAGGAAGTCAGCCACCCCTGCCCAGCACGGCTCACCCGTGCCTGCATCCCACCCCCGGCAGCCACTGTGCCTTGTGTCCCCGGCTCAGGTGTGCATCGAGAAGCGCCGGGGTGAGGGCCTGGGCGTGGCCCTGGTGGAGTCGGGCTGGGGCTCTCTGCTGCCCACAGCTGTCATCGCCAACCTGCTACACGGGGGCCCTGCCGAGCGCTCGGGATCCCTTAGCATCGGGGACCGCCTTACCGCCATAAACGGGACGAGCCTGGTGGGGCTGTCGCTGGCTGCCTGCCAGGCCGCTGTCCGCGTGAGTTCTCCCAGGGCAGCAGAGGACCCGAGGCCCAGAGAGGCCTCTTCTCCAGCCCGGTCTCTCTGGCCCAGTCCAGACAGGACAAGGCACCAGTGTGCCTTTATGGAAACTGAGGGCCAGAAACAGGACGTCGCTTGCCCAGGGTTACCTCCTAGCGTCAGAGCCTGGATTGAAACAGGAGGGCTGGCTGCAGGGGGTGGGGCATGCTTTTCTCTCTGCCAGGAGGTAGCCAACATGTTTTCGAGTATTAACCCTTGTTGCCCAAATGGGGAAACCGAGGCCCGGGGACAGGGAGGGACCTGCCCAGGTCAGAGAGCAGGGCCGACATGACCAATGTAGCTTCTTCTTGAGTGTATGCAATCCTGCCTGGTGGGCCCTGTGTACACTTGGCTTTTGACCATCTGGACACTAAGGCCCCACAGTGTTAGAGGTCACATGGCTTTGAACCCAGGGCTGCCTCGTTCATGTCTGATTTTCATCACTTTTCGAGGAGTCTTCTAGAATCTAGACCCTTGACTCCAAATATCTGTTTTATGAGTGGGTAAACTGAGGCCCAGAGGGGCTGCAGCTTGCCACAGGGTCGCCATCATGCAGGAGGTGAAGCCACAGACATCGGTGCAGCTCAGCATCGTCCACTGCCCGCCTGTCACCACCGCCATCATCCACCGGCCCCACACCCGCGAGCAGCTGGGCTTCTGCGTCGAGGACGGCATCGTGAGGCCCTGGCCCAGGTGCCCAGGTCAGGGGTGGGTGGCAGCCCCGAGTGTGGCCTCCTGAGCGGTGCCCTCCCTTCCTGTACCCCTCCCCCAGATCTGCAGCCTCCTCCGCGGTGGCATCGCCGAGCGTGGGGGCATCCGCGTGGGGCACCGCATCATCGAGATCAATGGACAGAGCGTGGTGGCCACACCACACGCCCGCATCATCGAGCTGCTCTCCGAGGCCCACAATGAGGTGCATGGGCGGCCCAGGGTGCCCCCCATGGCCAGCCCGAGGCCTGCCCTGAGCCCCCACCTCCTCGCACCCCCAGGTCCACATCAAGACGATGCCAGCCGCCACGTACCGCCTGCTCACAGGCCAGGAGCAGCCCGTGTACCTGTGACTGGCCCCGGCACCCTCGCCCCCACCACAGTGCCTTAACTTCACCGGCTCTGGACCCCCATCCTTGGCCCCGCCTTGGCTGGCCAGGACCCCACGGTATTCTTGGTCCTATATTATTTTCCGATGTAAAAAATTAAAAATTTATCAAACAAAGTCTCAGATCTATGGGGTCAAGAGAGGAAAAGACAGGGGCCCGACCCTCTCACCGCTTGTCCTCCCTGAAGCCACCAGAAGTCAGTGCTGTGAAAATACTGTTTATTAAAGACCAGGCAGAGGGACACAGCGTCTCAGCTCCGGGGAGGAAGAGGGAGGACAGGCCAGCTGGCGACCTGGGAAAGGTCACACGTCAGTGGCCGGGCCCCATTCGTATCCCTCTTCATCAGAGGACTCCACATCTCGGGCTCGTGTAAACTTTTTCCGCAGGGCCTCACGTTCATATGTCCTGGGGATCAGGATCGGGTGGGGAGGGTGTGAAGTTGCCTACCGTTAACCGGAGCTGACTCTGCTAGGCACAGGGCGTGTGGGTAGAGACGAGCAACACAGCATCCCCGAGTAGGGCCTTGTTAACAAACTCCTACGCATCCCTCAAAGCCCCAGCCCCAGTGTCCCCTCCTTCAAGAAGCGTTCCCAGTTCTCCCAGTAGGATTCCTACTGCCTTGGCCTTGACTATATGGGGCTTGGAGTGGTTCTGTCAGGCCCCACCTTGCCCACTAGGCTAGGAGCACCATGAAGGTTCTAGAATGCTTCCTCAACCCCCAAATCTGAATCCCAGGGCAAGTGTTGAGGGTCCCCAATCTGGAGGACGGGGGCTCTTACCGCATGCTGTCCTGTCGCCATTGACCCTGGGGATGGCGGCTGTCCACCTTGGAGGAGAGAGAGAAAGGACGTTCACATGTCCCCCAAAGTATGACAAGTCGGATGAATAACCACTGCCATCCCACCTCCCCACCTCTGTCCGGGCAGTGCTGCCCACAGGCTTTCTGACTCCTGACGTGTCTGCAGATCACCCCCAATTTTTAAAAGAAAAAACTAAGGCTGGGGTCCACTGCCATCCCACCTCCCCACCTCTGTCCGGGCAGTGCTGCCCACAGGCTTTCTGACTCCCTGACGTGTCTGCAGATCACCCCCAATTTTAAAAGAAAAAACTAAGGCTGGGGAATGGGAACCTCTTGGCTGAGATCTCCCTGCCTGTCAACGAAGGGAAAATTGGGCTTCTCGTCCGCCCAGTCCCTCAGAGAGCCGTTGTCACAAGTTCATAAATGAGCTCATGTAGTGTTTAGAATAGAGGCTGCCCCATAAGCAGGCTGCCACGGACAGTTGAGCAGGCTGGGCACTGTGCAACCCCCAGGAGCATCTTTCTAATCAGAGCCATCACAGATCCATGCGTTTTTACATTTACCTAGAGAGGGTCTGGAGGAAGGGGAGCCTTTGAATTCACAGAAAGGCCCCGAGAACCCCCCCCCCCATAGACTAAGTGCTGAATGAACACTTGTTACCACTAAACACCCAACGACTGTGTGTCAAGACTTGTGCTAAGCACACTGAGTTTTCACAAACACCCGTCACGTCACCTGTTATCATCTGTCCCTGTATCCCAGACAAGAAAAGTGATGCACAGGAGGTTAATATACTTGCTTAAAGTAGCTCAGTGCCTCCGTGGCTCAAATACCCCAAGTCTGAGTCTCAGAAACTGGCCTAATCAGATCGATTCTGTCTGTTGACTTCCTGGTAGAAAACAGGCTCTCGGCGTGTGTCTCTGCCCTGTGCTGGCGCCCCATCCCGAGACCCTTGCCGGGACGTTCCCTGCCCCCAGCGTCGTCCCATGCCCTGCTCACCTGGGCCGCACGCTGAGCCGAGATTCTCCCATGATCCTGCGGGCTCTGGGGTTCATCCACCTGCACGGGCTCCGAGGACCGGGCCAGGGCTGGCGCGGGGGGACCCTCATCCACATCCGTGTGGGGCCCACCCTCGCCGTCCGTGTAGACACCGCCCTCGCCGTCCGTGTAGCCTTCACCGTCCGTGTAGACACCGCCTTCGCCATCCGTGTCCTCATAGTCGCTGTTGACCCGGCTGTCACAGCTGAGGTCTGCCGAACTGTCAGCCAGGCCGCGGTGAGGGAGGTCCAGGTTGTCCTCCGAGGAGGTGTCCAGCTGTGGGACAGATGTGAGTGCTGCGGCTGGCCATGGCTGAGCCAGGACCCCCTACCCTGGCCAAGATCCAGTCTGAACACAGACCAAAGCAGACAAAGATCCCTGACCCTCAAGTTCAAATCGATGAAGCCCTGACTCCAGACACATGCCCCAAACCTGGCTGGGCCCGAGAAGTGTCCTGGGGCCCCTGCATCCCCCACCCACCCACACACCCCAGTACCTGGTCCTCGGCCGTCCAGATGGGTCGAGTCTGCTGCTCCTGGATGACAGCTTTGAGCTCCTGGTACCAGCTGTCACTCGTGCCATGCAGGGGGATGGTGGCTGTGAAGAGGTGGCTGCTGTGCTTCCGAAGCTTCTGGGCTTGTGCGTAAAGGCGGCGGGTGCTGCGGCGGGAGGCAGGCGCCAGCCATTGGCGCAGGGCCTTGAGGGCCACCCGGCTCTCCGGAGTGAAGAAGACCACAATGGGGTAGTACTGCACGTAGTTGAGGCGCTCGATCGCTGAGGGGGTCACATCCAGGAGCGCATGCTTGTCCTGGGCCAGGGCCGTGGTGGGGGGGCGTTGGGAGAAGAAGACAGACAAACAGACAGAGGAGAGAGAAACACATGCAGAGACAATCATCAGAGTCAGGACAATTACGGAGGATGATGAAAAGATGAAGAGTCTGAGGTCAGAGTGGACCCCAGCCTCTTACAGCCACAAGCCAGCATGTTGGGGGTGGGGCTGGAAATGGCCCAGGGCACAGCATCTTGGCACCAGAGCCCTAATTTTGCTCTCTGCCTCTCCCCAGTGCTGTGTGACTCTGGGCAGACTTTGTCTCTCATGTGTCACTCACAGGCTTCCCACCTCACAAAGCCTCAGAGAGGGGGCTCCACGGAAGACCACACTTGTGGGGCCTGGGGTGAGAACAGGTCAAACCATGCGGTTGGATGCCCAGGCCTCAGTTTCCCCATCCATGTAATGGGACCCACAGCAGGGCCTTGCTTACCTTCTCCGCGATCACCCGCACAGTGTCCAGTTTGATGATCTTGGAGGAACTGTCGGTCCTCAACATACTTTCTGTGCAGAAGAAAGATGACCAGCAGCTTCAGGAGAGCCACCTCTAGTCCCTCAGATTCATGTCCACCTGCCCCTGTCCTGCTCAAGAGGTCACCATGGCTCCCTACTGCCCACAGGGCTTTGATGGGATGTTTTTTTTTTTTTTTTTTTTTAAAGATGACCAGTAAGGGGATCTTAACCCTTGACTTGGTGTTGTCAGCACCACGCTCTCCCGAGTGAGCCACGGGCCGGCCCTTGATGGGATGTTTTAACATGTTAAGTGCATCCGCTCAGTGAATGTTGGTTCCCTCTCTCCCTCCCAACCCTCTATGGCTCCCCACTGTCCTCAGAACTCAAACTCCTCACAGACCCCCCAGCCAGAGTACTACACCACCGCCCTGTTGTCGCTGTGTCCCTCACTCTCCCGTTCGATCCTCTCTTCCCACCTTTCGGTCCCCGGGATATGTGAGCTAGTTCCACTCTCGTGGTCTCTGCACTTGCGGTTGTTCCTTCTGCCTGGAAGCCCTTCCTTAGGCTCCTTCTCAAACTCGAACCCCAGCATCAATGTGGCCTCAGAGGCCTTCCCTGAGCACCCCAGCTAAATGCCCTGTCCTTCATCTTCATCTCAGCGTGTTTTTGCCAGAACATTCCCACCTTTGCTTGAGCTCAGGGCTCTGTAAGCTTTTCCTTTATATAAAGGGCCACAGAGGAAATGTTTTTGGCTTTGCAGGCCACATGGCTTTATAGATCTCTGTCACACTACTCAGCTCTGCCGTGGTCACTGGAAAGCAGCCGAGGACAATATGTCAACCAACAGGCATGGCAGTATGCCAATAAAACTTTACTCATTTGAGGGCCGGCCTGTGGCTCACTCGGGAGAGTGCGGTGCTGATAACACCAAGGCCACGGGTTCGGATCCCATATAGGGATGGCCGGTTTGCTCACTGGTGAGTGTGGTGCTGACAACACCAAGTCAAGGGTTAAGATCCCCTTACCGGTCATCTTTAAAAAAAAAAAAAAAAAAACTTTACTCATTTGAAGCTAGAAAGTGAATTTTATATTATTTTCATGTGTCACAAAATATTTTAACTTTTTATTATTATTATTATTTTTCCCAACCATTTGAAATTTCTAAGTATGAAGCTGGCCGGTTAGCTCAATTAGTTGGAGCTTGGTGTTACAACACCAGGGTCAAGGGTTCGGATCCCCGTACCAGTCAGCCGCCGAAAAAATAAGTTTGAAAAAGTATATGTACCATTCTTAGCTCATAGACCCTGTAAAAACAAAATGCAGGCCAGATTTGGCCAGAGAGTTGTAGTCTGTTGACCCATATTCTGTTTTAATTGTGTCTATAGTTATTAACTTTTGACCTCCTCTGGGGACCTTGCCTGTCTCGTTCACAGCCGGGTCTGTAGTTCAGTAAACATCTCTTGAACAAATGGCACCTTGTCTCAATTGGGAATGGCTACCTGGTGAAGTGTGTTAAGAAGGATTCTGAGGTTCTATCCAGACAAACAGTGCCAACATTGACTGAGGATGTCTGGCCTGAGCATTGGAAGGGACACTGGTGGCTCATCTGCCTCACGTTTTCCATCTTTATTTTCCCAAAAAAGCATCATTATCAGCTCATCATTAAGCTGCCTCAGCCCCAGAGGCTGGGAAATGATTCACTAACAAGGTGAATTCACCAAACAGGACCTGGTTTCTCACCTGCAATTTCAAACTGGTCAGGCATCTCAGCAGTCAACTTCTGCATAGCAATGTCTGCCACAGGTCCCAGGATCACCACCGGGCGCTTGAAGCTGGCTGAGGGACGGAGAAATGGAAACAAGAACGAGGATCTCATTTGCAGCAAAACCAGCCAGCGTCTGGTATGACACTTCCCCACTTCCTCCACAGTGACAACAGTTTTAGGGCTGGCTGGTTAGCTCAGTTGGTTAGAGCATGGCGTTGATAACACCAAAGTCAACGGTTCAGATCCCCTTACCGGCCAGCCACAAAAAAATCCCAGAACAAACAAACAAAACACTGATTTAGCCAGGTCTCAGCTTCTTAGCTAAAGACCACATCTCGCAGCATCCCTTGCAGCTAAGGATGACCATGTGACTCAGTACCAGCCAATGGGATGCAAGCAGAATGAATACATGCAATTCTGGGTTCCTGTTCTTTAAGAGCAGGACTGAGCCCCCTCTATGTTCATTCCCCACCCCCCTGGCTGGAATGTGGACATGGTGGCACCACCTTGGACCACACAGAAAGACAGAAAAACAAGATGGAAGGAGCTCAGTTCCTGAAACTGAAGCAGCCAAAAGAAAAAGCCAACAGCTGCTTCCACTGGGACTGTTACTTGAAAAAGACACATTTTTGTTTGTTTCTGCTGTTATTTGGGGCCTGTGATAGCAGTCGAACCTCAGTCACTCATCAGTCATCAACCTACAACCCATGGGCCACATCTGGCCCTCTCCCTGTTTTTGTAAATAAAGTTTTATTGGAACACAGTCACATCCATTTGTGTATGTCCTGTCTGTGGCTACATTCAAGCAGAGCTGAGTGATTTCTACAGAAACCATTTGGCCCACAAAGCCTAAAGCAGTTACTGCCTGGCCCCCACGCAGGAAAAGTTTGCCAACCCCTGGCCTAACCTATAAACCATTTTACCACTGAAGAAACTGGTGCAGAAAGCGTCCTGGGGGAAGGCAAGTGGGCAGCTCAGCCCCCTCCCTGCACCCCCACCCCTCTCTTCTGCCTTGTTCCAGGCCTACCTCCCTCTCTTAAAAGCTCAACACAGTCAGATTCTTATACTTTCATTGGCTGGGGTGGAAACGAAGCATTGTGGCCATGTATTTTTAAGCCTTGTTTGTCTGGATGTTGGAGCAACAGCTAAATGCAGCATTCAAGGACTTCTCTGGAAGTCGATGCATTCTCCTTCCTGGCAACTCGCTATTCCCTCTTCTGCAGTTTTATTTTAAAGGCCTCTGCACCTGGTTTTTAATCCCCTCTCCCTGAGGCTCTGATAAGAGCTTAATCTCTTCCTTTCCTGAAATTAGGATGAGCTTGTTTTTTCCCCTCCCTGGTTCTCAGGCAGGGAAAGGATCTTTTTTTTTTTTTTTTTTAAAGATGACAGGTAAGGGGATCTCAACCCTTGGCAGCACCACGCTCAGCCAGTGAGCAAACCGGCCATCCCTATATGGGATCCGAACCCGTGGCCTTGGTGTTATCAGCACCGCACTCTCCCGAGTGAGCCACGGGCCGGCCCTAAGTATTGTTTTTTTTAAACACCTGTTTTCATTGTGCACGTGTTTTTAAGGGTATCTGTTTTACCTCGGGCTGACAACCTAGAAAACTACAGTCCACACTAAATATACAAGGGTACTTAAAAAAAAAGGTCAAGGGTTTGAATCCCTTTTACCAGCCAGCCACCAAAAAATAATAATAATAATAATTCTTGTATTGATTACCTACAGAAATAATACTTTAGATAGAAGGCTGGCTACTTAGCTCACTTGGGAGAGTGTGATGTTACAACACCAAGGTCAAGGGTTCGGATCCCCGGACTGGCCAGCTGCCAAAAAAAAGAAAGAAAAAAACAAACTTTGGATAGAGTGTGTTAAATGAAAAAAAAAAAAAAACCTACTAAAATTATTTGCAACAATTCTTTATCCTTTTTAAGATTATACATATGTGGGCCGGCCCGTGGCTCACTGGCTGAGCGTGGTGCTGACAACACCAAGCCAAGGGTTGAGATCCCCTTACTGGTCATCTTTTAAAAAAATTTTTAAAAAAGATTATACATATGTCTTGCATTATCTTTCTCTTGGAAATAGAAATCGTTTGGGTTTTTTGGCGGCTGGCTGGTACAGGGATCCGAACTCTTGACCTTGGTGTGATAACACCGTGCTCTAACCACTGAGCAACCGGCCAGCCCTGGGAATTGACTTTTATGGCATGAATCCCTTTCCTGTCTCTTTCTTCCCCTAAACCAAAAGTGGGTATTTTTGGTTGGAAGGAGGTTGACAGGACCGCAGCTCTTGGTGTTTGCACGTCGGTGCTCCGGGGGTCCAGACATCTCACCCAAGGCCTCCCCGCCGCCCCTCACACCCCAGGCCGTACCTTCCCGAAGCTGCACCCGTTCATAGGGCGGGTAGCGACCCTGCCTGGTCAGAGCTGACAGGTCCTCACGGCTCCGCTGAGTGGTCTTCTTGGCTCCACGACGAAGACCCCGCAGCCGCCAGAACTCGGCCCGCGCGCTGGAGCCACCGGAGGAGCTGGGCCCAGCCCCCACGGCCCGCTGGGCGGCCTCCAGGCTGGCCAGCTGCTCCGCCCTGGGGAGAAGGGCGGGTGGGGGTGAGCGACAGGGACGGCAGAACCGTGGTCCCCAAGGATGTCCATGTCCTGATCCCCAGAACCTCTGGATATGTCGGCTGCTGCGGCAGAAGGGACTTCGCAGATGGGATGGAGTTAAGGACCTTGAGATGGGACACCATCCTGGGTTATCTGTGGGGGCCCAGTGTCCTCATGGGGTCCTCATAAGAGGGGGCAGGAGGGTCAGAGACTGGAAGACGCTGCGCTGCCTGCTCTGCAGACGGAGGAAGGGGCCACGTGCCGAGGGCTGTGGGTGCCTCTAGAAGCTGGGAAAGGAGGACACGGGTCCTGCCCTGGAGCCCCCAGGAGGGACCAGCCCTGCCCTTGCTTGGACTTGAACCCTGTGAGGCCCACGTCAGACTCCGACCTCCAGACCTGTGAGATGAGTTTGTGTTGTTTAAAGCCACTACGTTGCCGGCTGCTTGGCTCAGCCAGTTGGCATGGGGTGCTGACTACACCAGGATCCAGGGTGCGATCCCTGTACCGGCCAGACGCCACAACAAATGAATGAATAAATAGAGCCACTGAGATTGTGGTCATTTGTCACAGCAGCCACAGGAAACTGATACAAGCGCCGACTGTTTACCAATCTGAGCCTTCTGCACGCTGCCTTGGACTGAACCATCAACATTAATAAGTAGTGACATGGTGCCCATTTCTGGTGGGGAAACTGAGGCTGAGGAGCAGTCCCCACCTTCTCTGGTTGGGAATGATGCCTCGTTCTTCCTCCCTGAGGTCACGACCCATGCGTGCCACCAGCCAGTGGCCTCTGCGGCAGTGGCCCTGCTCAGGGCCCGAGTACAGCGTGTCCACCACGTGGAAGACGTCACCACGGGTGAAACCCAAGCCAGATGGCGGGCTGGGCTCCAGCTCAAAGTGCGTGCGGATGTAGAAGGAGTCGCCCACGCGGGACTGCACCATTTTCTGGAAGACTGAGGATGGGGGAGGCCATGTGAGTTGCCTGCCCTGGGCCCAGATCCAAGCCCTCCCCAGGGAGGGAGCCTAGCCCGAGGGAACCTCCCCTTGGGGAGACACCGGTCACCCTCTCTGCAGGGGCTGGAGAAAGGGACAGAGGGCACAGAAGCACGGATGCACCCACGCTCCAGCGCTCACCACCGGGCCACACAGCCAGCGCTCTTGCGCATGGAGAAAGGGACAGAGGGCACAGAAGCACGGATGCACCCACGCTCCAGCGCTCACCACCGGGTCACACGGCCGGCGCTCTTGCGCACGGGCGCCCACGCTCCAGCGCTCACCATCGGGCCACACAGCCAGCGCTCTTGCGCACGGGCGCCCACGCTCCAGCACTCACCACTGGGCCACACAGCCAGTGCTCTTGCGCCCCGCCACACACTTGCGCGCACACAAGCCCACACACACTCACTGTCCTGCTTCCTCTGCGTGACCAGCTCCAACTCCTCCCCCGGTGGCAGCTCCAGCAGGAACTGAACAGCCTCTTCCCGCGTCATGTTCCGGAACAGCACGTCATTCACCTGCCAGAAAGGGGATGCGGTGATGGGACAAGGCTCGGGGCACCTCCCAGCCATGCAGGAGACCCCAGGCCTTCCTCTGGGCAAAGCCCAGCCCCAACTGCTTCCAGAGCTGCGATCAAGGACCCCAACAGTTGGGGGACAGCTTTCCAATTGGGACACCACCCTGTGTCAGCATGATGTGACACAGACAGCAAATGGCATCCGAGACATGCAAGGGTCTGGACACAGAAACTGGGGCATGGGCAGTGTGCTCAGTAGGTGGACAGCCATGTCACGGTGGGTTGTCAACACCAAGACATAGGAACGGGGTCAAAGCACCGGGCTCAGTGGAAATGTTGTGATACACTCAAAAGAGTTAGGACATAGTCACAGGGTTGATACAGGGACAGCTATATACAGAAATGGACAGTGGGGTCACAGACACCTGCTGTCAGGGTCGGGACACGGATGTCAGGGTTGGAATCCCACAAGAAACTGAGGTGGAAATACTATAAAAAAATATGACCCTCAGGCAACTTGGCAACAGGGTTTGCACCCGGCCACTGGGGTCATGACATGGACAGTGAGGGGTCGTGACTCCATCATGACTTCATGACTCAGACTGCAAGGTCGTGACATGAATGAGGTCAAGAGAGGGACAGTGGGGACAGGACCTGATGAAGGAGCTTGCAGAAGGACAGAGGGGACAAGCCAGGGGAAAGACAGGATGGATGCAGAGAGGGGCAGGGGACAAGGGGCTGCAGGTCCTGGAGGTGGTTACGACACAGCCATAAAGGCAGGACTGAGCAGGGTCACAACACAGACACAGGTGTGGTGGCACAGAAAATGACTCCATGGAAGTGGGCCCATGGGAAAGTGAGACCAAAACAACATGGTCAGGACACGGTCAACGCAGGTATGACAGGAACAAGGAGATTGTGACAACGATAACAAGGTTGTAACCCAGAAAATGAAGTCATGACCAGGACATAGGTCATGACCTGGACAACGAGGCTGTGACGTGGACAAGGTCGTGACCTGAACCATGAGGTTGTGAGGTCGTGATTTGGTCAACAAGGTCATGACACAGGCTGGGAGACATTGCTATTAATTTTGGGGGTTTTTTGGAGGCTGGCCGGAGTGGGGATCTGAACCCTTGACCTTGCTGTTATAACAACACACTCGAACCAACAGAGCTAACCGGCCAGCCCTAGGGAGACATTAAAATGCCAAAATGCCCAGCGGGGGTCTTGACGGTCCCCAGGGTGGACCTGCAGGGAGGACACGCAGACATGACAGACAGAGGCACGAGCCAGCACACCACACGCCCACTGTCGGCGGGGCTGGCCAGCCACCCCCGGTCACCTGCAGAATCTGGTCTCCCTCCTGGATGCCCTGCCCGTCGGCTGGGCTGCCTGCCTGCACCCCTGACACAAAGATGCCCACGTCGTTGCCCCCAGCCAGCCGCAGCCCGATGCTTGTGCCCTTGGGGAAGCGGATCACCCGCGTGTCGGGGCTGTACCTGCAAGGGGAGGCGGGGGCAGAGTCAGACCCAGGCGGGCAGAGAGGGGGCGTGCCAGGCATCCTTGGGAGAGCTCCTGCCACCTCTGGGCCTCAGTTTCCCAAAAGCCCCACGTGGCACTTCCTTTTACCACGCTGGTACGGGAGGACAGGATTGTGCTGATTGGGAAAGCAGCCCTGAGATGGGGGAGTCTCGAGCAGTGGGCTTTTTTCTGGGGTACACACCCACGATCCTCCATGCTCTGATTGCTGGGCACCCTGTAGATGTCATAGCGGCTTTCCCTGGGCGAGTCTGAAAGGGAAAAGCTGGTCTCTTTCTCAGGCACACTGGCTTGACCCAGCCTCCAAACCCTGGCTTTAGGGTGTCCTGCCCCTGGGGTCACCATTTCCCACCTCTGCTCCTTCTTAGGAAACTGTGCCTGACCCCTTAGGCTCATGCCAACATCCTGCCACTCTGCCTGGCATAACCTTGCTTGCTGGGATTAGAAAACTCAGGGGATGGGGTGCTCAGAGTCGTCTCCTACCCACTCTTTGCTCACCTGGTTCCGAGATGGTTCTGGAATCCGCTGACCTCTCCCGCTGAAGCTGGGGGCTCCGCCTGGTGGGGAACAGATTTGGGGTGAGGTAGGAGTGAATGTCGAGGGGCAATTTAACATTCCCCCTCACCTCTTTGCCTCAGTTTCCTCCCTTGAGCTGCAGATGGTTGAGTCAAGTCTACTACAGTTAGGCCTGGCTCAAAATAAGGTGAGCCTGTGACAAATGTCATGCTTATTATTTTATTATTATCAAAAGCCTATAGGGCTGGCTGGTTAGCTCAGTTGGTTAGAGTGTGGTGCCGATAACACTAAGGTCCAGGGTTTGATCCCTGTTACTGGCCAGCCACCAAAAACAGAACCAAAAACTGCTGTAGAGGTTGCTATGGACAGCGGGTCGGTGTAGCCCAGCCCCCACCAGATTCGTGTGTTGAAGGCCTAACCCCCAACAGGATGGTATTGGGAGGTGGGGCCTTTGGTTTAGACGAGGTCACCAGGGTGGGGGCCCCATGATGGGACTAGTGTCCTCATAAGAAGAGGAAAAGAGACCAGAGCTTGTTCACTCTCCACCGTGTGAGGACACAGCAAGGTGGCCGTCTGCAAGCTAGGAAGGGAGCCCTCACCAGACGTCCACCCTGCAGTCACCTTGACCTTGGACTTCCAGCCTCCAGAACTATGAGAAATAAATGTCCGTTGTTTCAGACAGAGCTGGATACCCAGAAGTGGGATGCTGCTGTAACCAACACCCAAAATGTGGTGGATGTGGCTTTGGAATTAGATTGTGAGTAGAGACCGGAGGTGTTCTGAGGCATGTGCTAGAAATACAGGACTGTACCCTCAAGGCCAACCCCAGTTGAAAAGGTATGCCCACATTTCCCGCTCCCTCACGTCCGACGAGTCTGGCTGGCAGGGGTACATACGTTGGGGAGTTGGTCTGGCTGGCCTCTGGACTGCGCTGCCGATGCCGGGGTGGTGGTGGGATGTGGGAAGGGGGTGCCTGTGACAATTCTGAGCCGAGGTCCGAGATGTCTGCAGGGGAGAAGCCATCTCCTTAACTATGGTCACACTTTCTAGACTGGACCCATTTCACAGACGGGCACATGGAGGGACCCAGACCAAAGTTAGAGGCTCAGTGTGAAGATGCAGCTTTGGGAGGCTCCAGTCTTGACTTGCAGTGGCCTTGGGCAAGCGCCTATCACTCTCTGAGCCTCTAGGAGCCAGGCTCGTTGACTCCTGCTTGGCCCTGCCTGGTGCCCCCCACTTTCCCTTCCCTCCACCCAAGCCCCTCCTGGGATCTGCCTCCTGGCCCCTCACCTTCCAGGAGGGAGCTGTCACTGTCACTGAGCACGGGCGGGATGTTCACCAGGAACTGCCCTCGATCCCTCAGCACCAGCAGTGTCAGCTTGCCCTCCGATTTCTCAATCAGCCGCCGCGTGTCGCTCAGTGACAGATTCTCGCTGGACACCCCATTGATCTGAAAGGGACCAGGAAGGGGACAAAAGGAAGGGTGGTCATGAGAGATGGGAGATACTAAAAACAGCTTGGTGTAGGAACTAGAAACACATAATCCCCAGGGGTTACTAAAAACAGACACTTCTGGGGAAAATGTTAGAAGTGGATTCCTGCTGTGATGGAAACCACACCGAGAACGGACTGTCCACAGAATTCTAGAAACAGACAAATTTCTCGGATAGAAAGTGTTGCTGATGTCACGGGTTCGCATCCCCATACCCGCCAGCCACAAAAAAAAAAAAAAAAAAAGAAAAGAAAGTGTTGCTGATGTCACGGGTTCGCATCCCCATACCCGCCAGCCACAAAAAAAAAAAAAAAAAAAGAAAAGAAAGTGTTGCTGATGTCACGGGTTCGCATCCCCATACCCGCCAGCCACAAAAAAAAAAAAAAAAAAAGAAAAGAAAGTGTTGCTGATGTCACGGGTTCGCATCCCCATACCCGCCAGCCACAAAAAAAAAAAAAAAAAAAGAAAAGAAAGTGTTGCTGATGTCACGGGTTCGCATCCCCATACCAGCCAGCCACAAAAAAAAAAAAAGAAAAGAAAAGAAAAGAAATAGAAACAGACAAATTTCTAGGAGAATTAGGAGACACTATGGAAAATGAGGGATGCACTGACTCTCCCATCTCCCAAGAAGGGAACAATTTTCAGGGATCCCTAGGAACAGATCTGAGGGTGATTGTGAGAAACAACTCCAATTGGGGGAGAGGTAGTGGATACTTAAAGATAATATTAGAAACACACAATCTCTAGGGGGTACTAGAAACAGACATCTGGAGGTGGGTTAGAATCATACAGTTCCTAGAAAGGACTAGAAAGACTTCATCTCCACGCATACTGGGAATCCATGTCTAACATTTTCCCTGCGAGTGTCTATTTTCAGTAATCCCGGGAATTGTGTTTCTAATGCCTGCCCCAAACCACTAGAAACAGACAATTCCTCAGGGTCACTAGAAACATAACTTCGAGGAGACACTAGAAACAATCACCTGGGGGGCTGGCCAGTCAGTTGGTTAGAGCTTGGTGCTGATAACACCAAGGTCAAGGATTTAGATTCCCTTACTGGCCAGCTGCCAAAAAAAAAAAAATGCGCGGGTGTACTAGAGACAGACAACCCCAAGCAGAGACTAGAAATCAACCTTTGGCAGTAGATTAGCACTGTTTGGGGGAAGTGGGGTTATGCGTAGTTATCTCAAACTTGGGGAAACTATCAACAACACAGAAGGTGAATGGCTTGGGGCCCAGTTCTGCTGCCTTTGCTCTGTGACTTGGTGGCACCACCTGCCCCTGGCCTCTGTCACACCTGTAGGATGAGGTCTCCTTCCTGCAGCCCACGGTTCCGGGCAGCCAAGCCTGAATCCGTGATGTGCTTGATGAAGATCTGACTGCCCAACTTGACCCCGAACTCTGTAGGGGGGAGGAGGGAAACTGAGGCAGGACCCTGGAGATGGGTGAGTAACAGTGTCCTCCTGCTGTAATGATGCAGTCCAGGTCTGGGCCCTCCCTTCCCAACACGCTGGTGACATTAAAACAAGATGTCACACATAGCTCTGAGATCCACCTGCATTAGTAGTGTCTCCCTGTAGAGCCGGGGCAGGGGCAGGGTCTTTGTGCCATTAGTGATGTCACAAGGCACAGACAAATAACATAACATTATTAATGACCACAATTAGAGCTCTCAGGATGCGACTCTTGTTCTTAAAATTACAATGGGGGGGCCGGCCCGTGGCTCACTTGGGAGAGTGTGGTGCTGACAACACCAAGTCAAGGGTTAAGATCCCCTTACCGGTCATCTTAAAAAATAATAAAAATTACAATGGGGGGGGGGTGGGGCAGACCCTCTGCCACGTCATGAACACAATTCTGAGGTCACGAGACAAGGATCAGAAGTCACATGCCTGTTGTTGATGTGATGCTGGGAATTCTAATATTGTCACACTGTACTGATGTCATGATATATGAGTGTCCTGGGGCTGCTGTAACAAACGGCCACAAACTTAGTGACTTTAAGACGACATCAATTTATCTCACAGTTCTGGAAGCCAGATGTCTAAAATCAGTCCAGCTGGGCTGAAGTCAAGTCGTGGGCAGGGCCAGTGCCTCCTGGAGGCTCCAGGGCAGGACCCGTGTCCTCCTTTCCCAGCTTCTAGAGGTGCCCGCAGCCCTCGGCGCGTGGCCCCTTCCTCCGTCTGCAAAGCCAGCAGCGCAGCGTCTTCCAGTCTCTGCCTCTGACCCTCCTGCCCCCTCTTATGAGGACGCTGTGAGGACACTGGGCCCCCGGGTAATCCAGGGTGACCTCCCACCTCGAGGACCTTAACTCCATTCCAGCTGCAGAGTCCCTTTGCCACGGAAAGTGACCTATCCACAGGCCCTGGGGACTAGGACGTGAGCATCTTTGGGGGCCGTTATTTTTCCAAGCACACGTGATAAGGGACCAGCTGTCAGGACAGTGGTGCTGCCCCACACAGGGGACCCCAAGCCCCGCTGCCAACCCACCCCCATGCCCGTGCCCTCGGCCCGCACCTTCACTCTCCCTCTTCTTCACCAGCACAGACTTCACGGGCTTCATCAGCACGTTCTGCCGTGGCAGCCGCTTAAAGCCGGACACCAGGGCCAGACCTTTGTCCTCAGAGCCACCGCCCGGGCTCCTGCGCCCGTGGCTGCCAGCCCGGCTCCGGCGACCAGCCCTCGGCCGGCGGGAGCGCTCGTTCCAGGAGCGGCCGGAGCCACTGGATGAGCCACCGTCGTAGCCCTGGCCATGGTCAGCCTCCTCCAGCCGCTGGGACCCGTCCTCCTCGTCCGAGTCCTGGCGCCCCCCAGAGGGGCTGGCCTTGGAAGTGGGCAGCTGGATCTTCCGGGGTCGCTTCACCGTCTGTCATGGGAGGGAGTGGACAGGAGGGATCAGCTAGTGGCAGGGGGTTCGGGGAGGGTCTCTGGGCCTCAACATCCAAGCTGTGAGATGACGCGACTCCACGTGCCCGTGGGAGCTTCCACGTATAACACCCTCGGGCACGGAACCAGGGTTTGGCCCAGCTGAGGGACCAGGGACGTCGCCTGAGTCCCCCCCACCTGGCATCTCACTCACAATGTTGGCCAACTTGGTGCAGGTCTTGAGCATCTGAATGGCAAAGGAGGAAGTGACATTCTCCATGGAGACCCCGTTCACCATGACGATGTGGTCCCCTGTCCTGAGGAAGGACGGCAGGTCTCAGAGGCAGCCTCACAGGGAGCCCCTGGCACCTCCAGGTCTACAAGGCCTGGTTCTAATGGTGTCCCCAGGCTCACAAAGACATTTATCCTTCTGGGCCTCAGTTTCTTCATCTGTAAAATGGGGCCAGTCACAGAAGCCAGTGTAATAACAGGATTATAACTGGTGTCTCCTGACTCCTCAGTTTTCTTCCCAAGCCCCCCTTTTTTGCTTTTGTACCCCTCTCTTCCTGTCTCTGTTTTATATTCTCTCTCTGTGTGTGTGTCTGTGAATCTGGTCCGCCATTCTGGGCTGGGCTCAGTCCTATCACCCATCAGCCATTTGGGGCCTAGAATCATTTTATCAACATAATTCCCATGAGTCTCCTGTACCCAAAGGCCCAGAACACTGGGTCTCTTCACCTCCTGCCAAAAAGGGGTTTCTAGGACTAGATGTTCCAGGAGGGCTTGAGGGCCACTATGACCCCGAGAACTGTCGTGAAGGACCAGGAAGTGCCTCAGGGAGATGAGGGCCAGGTCGCTGACTCTGTCCTGCTGCCAGCTCCAAGCCCTGTTGACAGAGCTGGAAGGCGCCAGGCACCGTCCAGCCTCCTGGCTTTGATCCCCGTGGTCCCTCCTCTCGACACACCCTCCGCCTGTCCTGATACTCACTGTAGCCTGCCCTGCGCTGGCCCTCCAGGGACCACATCAGACACAACCACGGACCCACTGGGCCTGTCGCGGCCTCCAGAGATCGCAATGCCGAAGCCCCGGCGGGGATCCTAAGGGAAAGAGAGACAAGAGGAGATTTCATTTCCCTCGGGGCAGAGGGTCTCTCCTCTGTTGAGCTGGGACTAAGGCACCAAGCCCCTCAACACCCAGGTGGGAAGAGAGAGGCCTCACCTTGTAGATGGTGGCCGTGTACTGTTCCCAGATGATCAGCTCCTCCATATCGGCCACCTGATCAAGGGCAAGAGGGAAGGTGGGCATGAGGCCACACAGGTCCATCAGAGCATTCGGGGGGGGGGTCCCCAGCCCTGGGTGGTCCAGCTCGGACACGCCCATCATCAGAGCCCGTGGGCAAGTTGCTACCTCTCTCCAGACCTCAGTTTTCTCATTTGCAAAATTGCACACTCTCTTAGCTCTGTGGGACTAGTGCAGAACACACAACCCTGCCAAGAGAGCGCAGCAGAGGTGAGTTGCTCGGGACACGCCTGAGACTGGGGGCTGCCGCCCGGGGAGGCAGGCAACCAAGATGCCACAGTTCTGGGACTTAGTGTAGAACGCTACGCGATCTCACCGCCAGCTTGCCTGCTTCATATGTGTTTCAGATCACCCCTCGCCCTCCCTCCTTCCCCGTTACCCCAGCAACCCTACAGGATGTCAGCATGTGGTCTGTGGCCGGTTCTGCTGGTATGTGCTGATCCTGCTACACAGCTCAGCTTGGCCATTCTGACTCCATCTTGTCAGTTCTCGTTTATATTTCCTGATGCCTCCACCCCATCCACAAAATGGGTATAAGTCAGTGGTTCTCAAACAGGGACGATTCCATCCCCAAGGGACACTGAGCGATGCCTGGGGACATTTGTGGTTGTCACAATGGGGGGGGATAGTCCTGGCATAGAGTGGGTGGAGGCCAGGGACACTGCTCAGCACCTGCACTGCCCAGGACACCCCACCACAGAGAGTGATCCAGTCTCAATGTCCACAGCGTTGAAGGGGTTTGAGTGCACCAAACTGCAGTGGAAGCTGAGAAAAGGCCAGTTCTTGGTTCCTTTCCCTCTGGAAGGTCCTACTCAGTTCTCTGAGGAGGATCTCAGCTGGGCCTGCAAGGTATAGCAAGCTCACTCTGCTCCAGCCACACGGTCCTGCCCCAGGGCCTTTGCACAGGTCGTTCTCTCTGCCTGGGACACTCTTCCACAAATTCCTCACCTTTCTTCAAGGTCTTTGCTCAAATGTCACCTCCTTGGTGAGGCTGCCCCTGTCCAGAATGTTTGTGGGGTTTTTTGGTGGCTGGCTGGAACAGGGATCCGAACCCTTAGACTTTGGTGTTATAACACTGAGCTCTAACTGAGCTAATCTGCCAACCCCACACTATTTAGAACTTCAACACTGTCCTGCCAGCCACAGACCACCTTATCCACCTGCTGTATCGTCCTTCATAGAACTTGTGACTCTGTGACATTCTCTAGATTTTTTTTCCCTGTTCACTGTCCATCTCCCCCTGTAGAATACCGGCTCCTGAGGGCAGAGATTTTTGTCCCTCTGGTTGACAGCTGAGTTGTCAGTGCCTAGGTCATAGCAGGGATTCCATAAGTATTTCCCATATGAATCATGAATGGAACAGAGTGCTTTCTTTGTGCGATACACTTTACATGTGCTATCTCACTTAATCCACTCGTTGAAGGGGCATTCTATTATCCCCATGATTCAGACAAGGAAACTGAGGCACAGAGCAGTGAAGTCACTTGCTGAGACAACAGCTTGCATCCGGCCTGGGGGAGTTGCGGCCACAGAACCTGCTGTTACAGGTGGATTCTGTTATTTTCATGCCCATGGTACAGGTGACACCACCAGGCTCCACCTGGCTCAGGTGCAGGGCACATAGCCACGCCCAACCCTCCTTTCCCTTCTGTGCACGTGCGCTGCTCCCTAGGGGGTCGTGAGGAAGCACCTCCCGGCCCTGACCATTCCTTCCGCCTAAGCTTGCTGCACTGGTGCGCTCCAGTGCCTTTCCTTACAGGATCTCCCAGGAGAGCAGCATTCCTAACTCCCCAGGAGCCGAGGGTGGAGCCCCACCGGGCACCGAGAGCCCTGCAGCTACCGGGGAGTGAGGTCAGCGCTCACTGCCAAGACTCCAATCCCACCCGCATCTGCCCGTTGCTTGTAGTGGCCGCGCCTTCTCCCAGCCTCAGTTTCCCCATCTATAAAACAGGCACCCCTGCGCTGTCTTTCCGGGCTGTCGTGCAGGCGGAGGCCATGAAGTCAGTGCGTGAAAAGCAGAATGAGCCTCTGGGAGATGGCGCCGCCGCTGCCGTGAGTAGTGATAATAATGACTTTTCTCCTTCGCATGACAGTAAGAAGCCATGCTCTTTCGTGCTAGCGGTGAGCTGGCGCTTTATGCATTCCCGTTCATTTAATCCCCAGAGTGACTTTAGGAAGTGGCACCGCTGTTATTCCTACTTTATGGGGGAGAAAAGGGGGGCCCAGAGAGGTTCAGTCATTTGCCCGAGGTCACACAGCACAGCAGGGAACCTTGGTAGCCGGTCCCACACCCTCGCTTTGGCTGGTTGGTGCAGGGATGTGAACCCCTGACCTTGGTGTTATCAACACCACACTAAGGGCCAGCCACACCCTGGCTGTTGACCACCAAGCCCCAGCGGTGGTCTGCTTTTTGTTGTTGTTGTCAGTTTGAGCTTATTTTTCAAAACAGAATCTTTTTTACTTGTGTTGATATTATACTTTGAGTCATTAAAGAGCCCCTGGAATTTTTTGTTTCCTGGCTTTATTTTAAGAAACAGCCCCCAGGGAACCAGGGTCCCTTAGGGGGAAGGGGTTGCAGGTGGCCTGCGCTTGTCCCAGCTTGTGTGGGTTCGTTTCCACGGATACCGGAGGCTTTGTCTAAAACCTTCCAGGGCTCCCCAGTGTGCTAGGGATTAAGCTGAACCCCACAGCGCACCTCAGCTTAGTTCACCTCCACACTTTTGCCCTGGCTGTCCCCTGTGCCTGGGACACCATTCATGGGATTTCTGCACGGCTGGCCCCTGCCACTCAGAGCTTGGCTCCAATGCTACCTCTTCAGGAAGCCCCCCATGACCACCCCAGCTAACCAATCTTCCCTGACACCCTATCATTCCTCCCTGTTTTATTTATTTAGGTATTTGGTGGCTGGCCAGTACGGGGATCCGAACCCCTGACCTTTATAACACTGCGCTCTAACCAGCTGAGCTAACCAGCCCAGCCCTACTTATTATTTTTTTATATGTGGCATCTAAAACCATCTTTTTCCTACTTAATCATCAGCTGGTAAGTTTCTGGTCTTTCCTCGTAGGCTGTGAAGGTGGGGCATGTCTGTCTCTCTGGGTACTTAAGGCCCAGGTGACCAGACATCAGCACCTGCCTCCTGGGTCCTGCAGTCAGCCTCCTTTTCCAGGCCTTGGCAGTGCTGTGCTGTACTCCGTGCCGAACCCCTATGCATTCCTCACCGCCCCAGTGCCGTGGTCCCTTCCTCCAGGACATGAGCCCTCAACCCCCCCTCCCCCCGGCCATACACACATCTCACATCCCTCCCACTGGCCCAACCTTGATTACTGGGGACTGGGATGTCAGAATCCAGCTGTCTCCCCTACACCCACCTGTCCCCAGTCTTGGGGTTCCTGGTGGGCAGGGCTGGTGGCCCCAGGACCCTGTCCCGACAGGACTAGGCACATGGAGAAGTTTTGAGGAATGGGTGAATAGTGGAACAAAATGCATTTCAGCCAGGGTTTCAAGCAGGTGCATCCTGTGTCCCCAGCCCCGTGAGCCCCGCCCCTGTAAAGGTGCGCTCCGGGGGTGGGGCCTGAGCCTTGGTCTCCACCCCCTGCCACGCGCCAGGCACAAACACCGAAGAGGAGACCCGCCCAGAGGGGACGTTCCTGGCCCCTACCAAACCACACCCCCCTCCCCGCCCCGCCTCCGGGAACAAAGGCAGGGGTAGGGGGAGGTTGGGTAGAACAAATACTCGAGTTGGGGAGGGGATTCTGGGAGCTGTTTTTTGTAGTCTGGAAGGAGTTCTAGGGCCACTAGGACTTCCTGGCCCTGGAGCTAGCCACAACCCCCCTGAGGCCTCAGTTTACCCTTCTTGAGCCCGATCTGAGACCCAGGATTCAGGCTCCTTGCGTGGAAGGTGAAGTCCCTCCAGAGACACAAGATCGATCGCCCATCCCCACCCCCATGCCCACTCCAGCCGGTTGGTTTGCACGCTTGTAAAACAGGGCTCCTGACCCTTGCCTCTGTGGGTCATGCACGTTGACAGCTCTGTACACAGTAGGACCCGATCAGTGGCGGTGCCCTCTCCTGCAGCCTCACCACATTCACCAAAGCCACCCCAGCCCACAAATGAAGTAACTGTCTGCAGTTCCAACATCAGGGCTCAACTTCACCAGGCCAAATACCCCTAGAGACGGGGCGTGAACGTCTTTCCTGGGCACCTACTACGTGTCAGGTGCTCGGAACACATTTTCCTCTTATAATCCTCCCCACACCCTTCTTTAAAATGACAATCACCCACTTTGTAGATGAGGCACTGAGAGGGAGAGGCGTCGACTCACTGGCCCAAGGTTACGCAGCATAGTTGACAGAGAAATGGGCATTTGAACCCCGGTCTGCTGAGTAGAGGAGGCAGACCCTGGGGCAGAGGGAGGCCTGGGAGGGTGCGTCTCGCTGTGCAGCCTCGGACTACCGATCCCATCCCTCTCGACCTCAGTTTCCCCATCTGTTATATAGGTAGAGGGCGTTCCGAGATCCTGGATCCGACTCCCACCCCCTACTTAGGACCTGCCCTAGCCCGATCCCCTCCCCCTCCCGCCCTCGAGGGCTACTCGCCTGGAATCTCACTGCCATGGTCCACCCCGGGGCTCTGCAGCGCCCCTGCCCGAGGGGGGCCTGGAAACAGTCACTCGGCCCCCACCCCGGGTTGGGGGAGGAGGCTGGGGAGGGTCGCAGCCGGGTAGGAGCGCCCGCTCTCACTCTCCGCCCGCCAGCTCCACAGCTCCCGGCTGCACCTGCCCCTCTTCCTCCTCCAGGTCCCCGGTCGGCCCCGCCCCTGCCCCGACACGCCTCCTGGAAGCCCCGGAGGCCGTCTTCAGCGCTCCCACCACCGGATCCAGGCCGCGTTTTCCACCCAGCCGAGCACTCGCCAGCCGCCCGGGCCCGAGACCAGCCAGACAAGGCTGCAAGGAAAACCCGGCCGGAGATGCCACCGCGCTCGGAGTGGAGCCTGTCGGGGAAGATTTTTGCATCCGCGAAAT